TGAACTGTGTAGTAAGACATTGTCTCAAAATAAAAGATGAGCCACATCTGACAAACATGTTCTTTCCATAGAAACAGTGTATTAACACGGTATTAGATTTAAGTCAAAGGCCTAGTTAGTCAGAAATCAAAACAGTATACAGTCTTAGAACTGCATGGGTGCTGGACTGGGGAACTAGAAAGCCAGAAACCTAATGTTGTTCTTTCCACCTTTTTTTTTGGATGGAACTAGGGACCTTGTGCTTTCAAGGCAGGCAGGGTACCACTGAGCTAAATCCTTGGCCCTGTTCTTTCCACCTTTAATGACACTCTGATAGCCACTCCCCTTTGTGTTTGTTATCAGTTTTAATTCTCTGCTTGCCTTTTAGCAGAGTTCTTTATAGGGACCTAACTCAGTGTTTCAGACCTAAATTTCCAGCACAGCATTTCTGGTCTCAGTACTTGAATATACAAGCGACTTCTCCCTTGAAAAACACAGGTACCTAGGCACCATTCCATTATTAGAAATTTGAGTATAGAGGATAACTTCTAGAAAAGAAGTCCAGGCCAGCCAGGTCCGGTGCTTTAATGCATGTCTCTTTTAGTTTCCCATGAATATTCTGCTTAGACAGCTATAAAAAGTATGCTTTTCCTGGTGTATATATGTCAAAACACATGTGTGGATTCTCTCTCTCTCCCTTTTCCCTCCTTTCCTTTCTTTCTTTTGTTTGATCTTTTTTCCTGAGATAGGTGCCTTGCTGTGGTGTAGATAGGCCTTGAACTCCTGGGCTCAAAGATCCTCCTGCCTTATTAGCCTTCTGAGTATCTGGGACTCTGGACGTGTAACACTGACTCAACTTTGATTATTTAGTTTAGCATTCAGCACAAATTCATTGAGAATTTCTTATTTGCAACAAGTTAAATGTACTTTGAGTAAGGTACTCAGAGTTTTTTGGAGTACAGCTCTAATAAAAGAGCCGATGTAAGGTTTCTTGATGTGAGAAACAGACATAATTGTGTATTGGGGGCCCCCATTATGTAAGACTGGAACATTCGAATAAAAACACAGTTGTTGGTGGACATTGTTTCTGCCTAGAAACAAGGAGATTGTGATTTGTATGAGTTTATTAGAGATAGCAAAGTGTGTCTGGTTGCCAGGCAGATACACTTTGAAGGCAAGTCAGATTTTTCTAAATTAAAGGGCTCTTTCTTATTTTATTGTGCTGGGTTTGAGCCCAGCTAGCCAAGTACACTGTCATTGCCCTGCACTGTACTCCCATCCCTAAACTTGTGGTTTAAACTTTTTTTTTTTTAGAGCTTCAGGAGTCTGATAAAACATAAGGAAGCTTTTCCCAGAATAATATATAACCCAAATACATAAATGAAAGATTTTATAGAAGCACTCTGGAGGGTACACCTGTAACCTGAGGACTCAAAAAGCTGAGGCAAATGAGGCCACTCTCAAGCACTTTGATTCCCAGGATGGTGATAACTTCTAAATTTTAACTATTACCTGGTAATATTTAAATACATTTAATAAAAATCTAGCATAAAATGACTAAGTTTTAGTGTATTTTGTTCTGTAAAATCTATAATTAGGAAAAAGTTACAGTTGTACAAAATGTGGATATTTTATCCCTGGATTTTTACTTAATTTTGAATTACCTAATATTTGCAGCATAATTTCCATAGCCATTATTAGTGGACCCTGTGGTTTCATCTGGCTGTTTACCACTTAAAAACTTGATACATCTTGATCATCAAATCCCTTTTCTGTGTGTCTTGGGTTATTTTATTCTCTCCTTCCCTTCACACCTTTGCCCTTCTTTCCTTCTTCTTGTCTTCCCTCCTTCCTTGGGGTGGAATCCAAGGCCAATTTACCACTAACTTCAATTCCCAGCCCCACCCATTCACCTGCTCATGCATCCACCTAACCACCCAACCACGCATCTGTCCTGAAACAAGGCCTTGCTAACTTGCCTGGGTTGGACTTGAGTTTGTAATCTTCCTGCCTCAGTCTCGTAAGTAGCTGGGATTACAGGTGTAATCCCTGAGGTGGAGTATTTTCTTCGACTAGAAATTTATAAAAGGTGAGTGAGTCAGTCTGTCCTTGTTTCAAAATTACTGATAATATAGTCTTTTTTTTTTTGATAGTATAGTCTTGAACTGTATCCACATTTAAATACATAATGTATGAAAGTGCCATTTTCATCACACCATTACCTATGCTGAGTTATTTTGAATGCTTTTTGATTTGATTACTTGTCAAATCAGCAAGTGGTATTTTGTATGAATTGTCTTTTTAAAAATTTTATTTTATATGAGATATGTCTTGCTACATAGTTCAGGCTGGCTTTGAACTCATGTCGATGCCACACTGGCCTTGAACTCATAGTGATCCCGCTGCCCCAGCCTTTTGAGTATTGGGATTACAGGCCTGTAACTCCACTCCTGGCTGTCTTGTGAATTGTCTTATTTACTGCTCATTTATCTCCTAAACTTTAGTAAACAGGGATGTTTTTCCCCATATAATAGAGGGTATTTTTCTTTTGTCTTTTAGTTTTACCTCACAGACATTCATGCTCTATAGGCTTTTGAAGCGTGGGTGTCAGATATGATTTTTAATTATTAAAAGGAATTGAATCATCACAAACATGCACTTGCAGTGAAGTAGGTATATAGGAGCCTACAGTGATTTCCTGTCCTGGGTGTGCAAGCGCACATGTGTACACAGCAGGAGCCACACAGGACTAAGGAAGTTACACACTGGGGCAGAGGCCTGGAAGTTGACTGAGGGAGCTGCTGCACTCCCAAGTTTGGCCCTTTCTCCAGACGAAGTCTAATGTCGTCTGCTGCTGCCTGTGACACAGCTTCTTGCAGTTGGGAGAGTCACATGAAAGAGACTTTGTTCACTGTCACAGGCTGTCTTTAAGGGGAAAGTATGGTTGTCATGATGGGGACATCTGTAGCACAGAATATGGAGGTGTTTTTGTCTTTTTTTTTTTGGTACCGGGGATTTAATTTGGGTCCTTGAGCTTGTGAGGCAGGCGATGGAACCACTGAGCTAAATCCCTGGCCTTTCTGTCTGTCTTTGAGGCAGACTTTTGTTGTATCATCCAGGTTGGCCTTGAACTCTTCTGCATAGTCCAGGTGATGCTCCTGCCTCAGCCTACCAAGTACTGGGATAACAGATGTACACCACCATGCCATGCCCCGTTCAAAGGGCTGATATTAAACATATAAGAGATTGTCGTGAGTTACCATCTTTTGTGCCGTAAACACGTGTGTGTCCTTGAAGAGAATGGTGAGGATCACTTGTTTGGCTCTTTATTTTTTAAATTTTGACTTTTAAATTTTTTTAGACAGGATCTCACTATGTAGTTCAGACTGCCCTGGAACTCACTGTGTATCCCAGACTGGTCTCAAACTTGCAGCAGTCCTCCTCCCTTAGCCTCCTGAGTGCTGGGATTCCAGGTGTGCGCCGTCACACCCGGCTTGTGTCTGGGTCCTTTGACGGGAGTGTTTGTAGCTTGAAAACGAGTGGTGGACATTACATAAGATTTGGTTTCTGCCCTCCATGAACCTGTGGTCATGCCTTCATAGCTGTCTTTCATGCTTTTGGATTAGGCATTCTGTTCTCCCAAAAGTTTTTTTTTTCTTAGACAAATTAATATGGAATATAATCCAATTTGGTAATGTGCTGTCAAGGCAAATAGCAAGATTCCACTAGAATGTGCAGACTTGGAGATGGGAGGAACTGTTACAGTCGCAAGACTTAACTGGCGTACATGGGTAGGAAGCATTTTAAAGTGTGAAGGGTTGTGAAAATATGTCGTGTTTGTAATTACAAATATGTGCCCTGGTAATGGTGATGCCATGATGGGAGATGCCAGGGAGAAGGCAGGGCAGGACCTCTGAATTTGGGCCTGAAATTGGGATAATGATGGTTCATCTCCCCAACAGTGATGCCCATTGGGACGAGATAATAGAAAACCATGAAAGCGTTACACAGACATTAGAAGCAGAGCACACCTAGCACGAGTTCTCACTTTGATTGGGCTGCTGCTGCTGATAGCATTTTCCCAGCTACTGCACTGTAGGATACACAGTCCTCAGCTCACCCTCATTATAGGTCAAATGTATTTCTTCTTTGGAAGCTCAGAGGGCTATCCTGTGGAACACCCCCCTTCCCGAGTACCACACTATGTGACCTCTTTATAGGGAAATGCTGACCTAGCACCTCTTCTCCATATGCATACGAAGACCAAGGAGATTTCTGTAGCTGCTGCAATTCTGGGCTACTAGGTTGATGTGCACTCTGTGACACTAGGGCATATAGAGTACTCAGAATAGAAGTGCTGTGATTTCCTTATAAATTGTTTTTAACTTTTTGAAACTGTGGAGTATTTTCTGATTTCCACTGGATTTTCCTTATATTAACTTCTGATTGGGGCTTTGATCTTTATGAGCAGAGGAAAGATAAACCTCTTCTGTACCCTTATTATAGGAATTAGTTGAACATATTGATAAGTAAGAAGGGGTGGTAAACTAGTTACCAGTGTCCCCACCCCCAGTGCCTGTGAAAAGTCTTCCTGCTTGGCAGGGCTTTTGAGACTACTGAAGACATTGTCTTTGGGAACTTTACTAGGACTATCTGTACGTTGCTGTTTATGCTCCCCTGGTTTGTTTGTTTATTTATGTATGTATGTATTTATGAGACAGGTTCTCACTCCGTAGTTCAGGTTGGTTTTGGACTCATGGTGTAGCCCAGGCTGGCCTTGAACTTGGAGATCCTCCTGCCTCAGCTCTCAAGTGCTTGGATTACAGGCATGTGCTGCTGTGGCCTGGCTTCTCTGTCTTTGTTGTTTGTAAAATTTAGATTACTGTCTTTAAAAATTTCATGTTTTGAAATAGGTTAGTAAACCTGATCTTCATTTCTGAAGGTAACAATAAAAGTTCAGATTCGCATTAAGCACTTACAGCTCTTCTGCTTCATTTTTGGTTTTGTTCCTCTGTCCTAAGACTTGCTACATTTGCGATGAACAAGGAAGAGAAAGCAAAGCAGCCACTGGTGCTTGCATGACATGTAATAAACATGGATGTCGACAGGCTTTCCATGTAACATGGTGAGTATGTTTCCATCCTGCCTAAGTGAAATTAGCAAGTAACTTTTGTAACAATCTTGAAGACTTAGTGTGTTTATCATCTTTTTGTCATTAGGACAAGGTACCTTGTACCTGAAGTTTAAAGGGGTTTGCTTTTGGCTCATGGTTTCAGTGTTTTTAGTCCATGGTCTCCTGGCTCTGATGTCGTGAAAGGGTGTGACAGAGAGAGATATTTAGGCTGTGGTGGGAAGCAAGAAGGGAGGGAAGAGCTCAAAAGAAAGGGACCAGGGACAGGAGTCAGCCCCCCAAGAACAGGTCTCCTGAATGCACCCAGACTCACCCAGGAGTGTATTTTGCTAATCTCCTAGGCACCTCTCATGCCAATCAAATTGACAGTGAAGATTGACTGTCCCTGTTACGTACCTAAGTATTAATTACAGTATGTTTTATTGGAACAGTTTGTTAAGATTTACTAATTTGTAATAAAGATAATTCTAAAAATAACTGTATGTACTAGAGTGGATTTATAATAAGTAGGTCCTGGTTCTGATGTAAGATCTGTAAATGTTAGTCTCTCCACCCTTTGGGTTCTGGGGATTGAACTCAGGGCTTCATACTTTATTTGTTTGTTTGTTTTTGTACTGGGGATCGAACTTGGGTCCTTGTGCTTGCAAAGCAGGTGGAAGAACCACTGAGCTAAATCCCTGGCCGTTTGTTTATTTGGTACTGGGGATCGAACTCGGGCCCTTGCACTTGGTGAGGCAGGCACTGGAACCATTGAGCTAAATCCCTGGCCCAGGGCTTCATACTTTATTTAAAGCCATCTATCACTGAGGTGCGTCCCAGCTCCTCCAGTTTCATCTTTTTGGAGATGATGTTGGTTATATATGCATTGATGCTTTGCTAAGATTGAATGAGTGGATACAGGTAAACTTTGCAGTGCCTGAAGTACTACTAGTAAGGCTTCAGTGAACGAGAGAGTACTTCTTCACCTGTCTCAAGGGAGAAGTAATCCACTCACCAGCATGCTCAATGTGAGAGTGGCTAGTTTTCAAAAATTTACTTAGATTTCTTTTTCATCATAAAATTTCAGTGACAAATTTTATTTAAGGCAAGAGCCTGGGTGTGGTGGTTCACACTTGAAGTCCCAGCATTTCTGCATTTGAGAGGCTTAGAATGGAGAACTGTTGAGCCCAGAAATTCAGGACCAGCCTGGGGCAGCACAGAGGGATGCTTGTCTGTGGGAATATCCTGTGTACCTACTCATTTTAGCAGTCAGACAGTGCCTCGCCACCACCCTAGGTGCGCACAGTTGCAGACCTGTTAGTGTTTGGATATGAAGTACGTTTTAGACTGCCTTTTGGGGAGTGAAAAAAAATTTTAAGTTTCTAACGAGGTCTCCTGATTGCTGTACTTAATTTTTCCAAAGATGAAAGTCCTGCTTTGGGAATATGATCTATACTAATACACTTTTGGAGTGTTGAAAATGTGAAAGGTCAGATTGACAGGATGATGATTACAAAGTTTAGCATTTTATCTTTTAAAAAGACACAAACCTCAGAACTTCAGGTTTCAATTTTATCTTCATTGTTTTTCACTAAGAAGCTCGAGTTTGTGTTTGTCTTTCTTACTGTGCTATCACTTTTCAGTATTTAATGTCTCAAAATTAGTCTTGCTTGAAAGCATTTTTCTTTTATGAGTGTATAATCTGTATGTATGTTGTTTCAGCCATATACAGTGGCTTCACCTCATGTGTACCCATGACATGGCTTGAAAAAAAAATACAATTAATTTTTTTTTGGTGTACCAGGGATCAGGCTCAGGTCCTTGCGATAGCAAGGCAGGCGGTGGAACCACTGAGCTACATCCCCAGCCCCCTACAATGAATTTTTAATTTTGAGGTGGAAATTTATTTAAGAAACTTTTTTGGGGTGGGGTGGGGCCTTGCCATCTTGTCCAGGTTGGTGTCATACTCTTGGGCTCAAGTGATCTTCCTGCTTCAGCCTCCTAAGTAACTAGGGCTACAGGTGCATGACATCACACCTAGCTCTTAAAGATGCTTAACGTCTGCTTAGTGATATGAAGTATGTAGTCATCCTCATCTTTGATAGAGATGTAGGAAAAGTTTATTTTTTTATTAGTACTCTTTATATACATAATTATCACATTAATCATTGGGAATTTGTATCTGTACATGATATATCTTGATTCTTTTTTCCCCCATTCCCTTCCCCTCCCTCCAAGCTTTCTTGCCCTCATTGTTTACACAAGCTTCATTTCCATTTCCCCCTTTCTATTCTCTTTTTGGAAAAGTTTATTTTAAATGATTTAAAAAAGGATTGCAGGGCCGGGATTTAGCTCAGTGGTTCCGCCGCCTGCCTCACAAGCACAAGGACCTGAGTTCGATCCCTGGTACCAAAAAAAAAAGAAAAAAAAAAAAAAAGATTGCAGGTTGAGGTTAAATGTACTTGGTGACAACTAGAATAAACCATTTTGTCTTCCCTTTTATTTCTTAGAAGATGTATTTTCTTACAAGTGTTTCATGTTTAGGAGTAAGTTTTGTTTGTTTGTGAATACTGTGATTTGAGTTTTTAATGGATGAACTTGGCCTTTATTTTCAGTGCTCAGTTTGCTGGTCTTCTTTGTGAAGAAGAAGGTAATGGTGCAGATAACGTCCAATACTGTGGCTACTGTAAATACCATTTTAGTAAGCTGGTAAGCTTTGAATTTAATATTGAAATGATGATAATTTGTTTTGACAGTACAGTGACACCAATATAAAAAAGAAAAAGTCGTAATAGCAATTTCTCTTGCTTTGATTTTTGCCAGAGATTAGATTTGTTTAGCATGTTTTATATTGGAAACAAAGAGATCGAGTAATACGGAGAGATTTTGTTCTGCATGGGTCCTTTTGAAAAGGTGCATATTCTAAAATATTGTAGTTTAGAATATATATTAATAGTTGATAGTATATGTTGCTATAAATTTAGTGGAAAAATTAATTTGTAAAGGACATTTTCAGTTACTTTGCCTTTTGACGTGCATATTTTGTTATTACTGGTTTCTTTGTTTCATTACTGTTATCCATTTCATTGTTTATTATTTATTTTCATTATTAGGTAGTAGGAAATAGTAAAATTGAAGGAAGGCTGTTTTGTAGTTTGGTTTATAAAGATCTTGAGTAAATATATTTAAATTCATCTTTGGGAATATAAATTTAGTCAAGTTTTGCTGTTACACAGTAGCATTAATGATTGAGTTAGCACTGTTTGACTGACTGTTACATATTAGTATAAAAATATAGTTCCTTTCAAGGATCAGTATTTTCTTACTGTCCCAAGTTTCTGTTTTCTCAGTCCTTAATGATACAGGCTTATTATACACTGAAGGTTTAAAACTTGTTTTACCTTTAATGTCTGTTTTAGTTATGACTTTTCCTTCATGAATGGAGCTATTTTATCCTGTCTTTTAAATGAATAATGTTACTGGGCACACATGTCTTATGAAAGGAGTGAGTCCTGCCTCCCGTGTTGTGTTTCACAGTGATGATGTACAGCATATATGATGGTGTCCTGTGAGATTATAAGGGAACTGAAAATTTTGTGTTATCTGGTATTTTTACATTACCTTGTGTGTGCTTTTATCCCAATATGTAGCATTGTGTTTGAGTGGCCAGGGCATTCAGTACAGTAATATGCTGTGTAGGTTTGTAGTCTAGAAGCAGTAGGCTACACCACATGGCCTGGGGGTGCCAAGGGCTCTACCACCAAGGTTTGTGTAAGTATACTCTGTGATGTTCATACATTGGTGATATCATCTAATAGCATATCTCCTAGAATGTGTTCTGGTAAGCAACTCAGGAGTGCTTAAAAGCATGTCTGAATCATTTGATGTAAAGCCTTTGCTTTAATGACGAAAAAATGTGCCCCAACCCCCATTGAACTCAGGGCCTTGTACTTGAGAGGCAGGCATGGTGCCACTGAGCTAAATCCCTGGCCCATAAAATTGAAAATTCTCCTTCTTTGTGGGTGTTTAAAAACTGACTGAGTTTTGATTTTGTTAAGCGAGTGATGATACCTGTAAAATATAAGGAAATTGGGGCTGGGGATTTAGCTCAGTGGTTCCACCGCCTGCCTCTCAAGCACAAGGGCCCAAGTTGGATTCCCAGTACCAAAAAAAACAAAAAACAAAAAATAAAGAAATGGATTTTGAAGTTTGTGCAAATATAATTTTCTTACTGTTAATTATTAACAGAATGTTAATCCCTTTTACTGGTTGGGAAAGTCTGTTTAATAACAACGAGATTGAATAAATTAGATTATGCATAAGTCTTGAACATCTTTTACAATTTTTAATCTAGTTTAAACTAATTAGGTATGATGCCACCAACCTGTAAACACCCCACGTAACACTTGTCTTCATACTTCATTCTGCAGTGGTGTAATAATTTAAATAGCAATGTGTAATGCTTTGAAAATGCATGGGTTTAATACTGACATTTCCTTTAATTTTTTTCTTAATGAACCGCAGAGATACTGAAAGCATAAGATTAAAAGCTTGCTTTACTAGTTGCATAAAGTAACTCTTCAAATATTTACTTTTTCTATTCTTCTAGTCTTGGCATCCTTATTTAATATGGCATTTTCTCTTTTGGTTCATATGGTTTTTTTTGACCCCCAAATCAGATACAGAAAAGAGGTAATCTAATTACACACATGTTAATAAATACACAAAAATATGGCATTAATGTTAAATTTAGGGTTTTTTCTTTATATTGTGATGGATGGTGCTTAAACTGGATTATATCAATTGAAAAAATGATTTTAATTTCAGTAGACATTGAATACCTCACACTTGAATTAGTTAAACATAACAGAAAAATTCTTTTAAAATTTTATATACATATACATATATGTATATATATTTTCTTTTTTAGAAAAAGAGCAAACGAGGATCTAATAGGTCCTATGATCAAAGTTTAAGTGATTCTTCTTCTCACTCTCAGGATAAACATCATGAGAAAGAGAAAAAAGTAAGTGGATTTGTTGTTGCTAAATATGTAGCACATCAACTATAGAAACTAATTTAAAAATTATTTTTGCCGTTTTAGGAAAAATAAGTTCTCGATAAATAAGAGGAGGCATGGGAATATAGAAAAAATTTGACTAATAAAAAGTTTTAGTTTGAAGTGGGTTTAAAATAATGCCATATTTGTGAATATGGTTTATCATATTTAGCATATGGTTTATGCTGATAAAATGTAATTTGAAAGCACAGGAGTGATTTTTTTTTTTTTTGCATGTTTTAACTGTAGTCATCTTGTGAAGTCTTTAGGTGACTTCAACAAAGCAAGTTTTGTGCTGTGTATCATTAATAGATTAGTTCATGTAAGTAATGATCTCATCAGCTTTTCTTCTTTATATAGAACAGAAGTTCTGCATAGTTGTGGCTAGATTTTCTTTTTCAGTGGTGCTAATGGTATATTATTTTTCTAATGGCCAAATGTTATACCATTTATTTGAAAATACTTTTTTGTCTTTTAATTAAAATACTAAAACCTTACATAAATACTAATCTGTCATTTTCTGCCTTACCTATATTCTGCTTACACTTTTTACTTAAAGGATGTGATTAATTTTTAATAGACTAAAAATGAATACTATGTAATTATTCATACTTGATTTGTAATTCTTTAAGAAAATATTGCCAGTGCAGTTAAAAGATATGATTTCTTTTAATGCAAGTAAAGATAAGAGAATCTCTTCAAATGGAAAAGAATATTGTTACACTGTTGATACAGACTAATTTTAGAAATATTTTTGTAAGGGCCGGGGATTTAGCTCAGCGGTTCAGTGGCCTGCCTTGCAAGCGCAACGACCCGAGTTCAATCCCTGGCACCAAAAAAATTATTTTTTTTTTATAGATTGTCTTTAGAAGCAAGATCACTTAATATTTTCACATTTGTAAGTAGGATTTGGGAAGTATTAATATGTATTTAAGTACATTTGGTTTAAATTTATGTTTGCCTTTCTTCAAGGTAAATTATTATAGTTTTTAAGTAATTCTGAGATTGAATGTTTTGATATAAGTGAAGTATTAGGTATAACCTTATGCTCAAGTTTAGGGCAGTTAGGTATATAATCTAAATATATTTATTTTTAGACCTTAAGCAGTAAGTATATGTATTTTGAATTCTTTATAAGGTGATTTGTGGTAAAGTGACAATAATAGGCGGTGTAAGTTGTATCTGTTTTTTGGATTATTGATGAAAAAATGGAAGGGTTGGTCTAATCAGCAGTAAAAGACATGAAATTTTATTTAAGCTTTTAAAATCACCAAATGAAGATGAAGTGTAAAGGCTCATTATAAAATGTGAAGAAGAAAATCATATATTAACAGACTTCTATTTCATGAGCAGTATCTGGTTTTAGATGTTCACTGTATGATCATATTTAATTTGTGTCTTGTATTACTTGAACAATTATTAAATGTTGTGTAGTTTTGAATCTAGTGCCGATGCCTATACACTTAGCCCTTGCCCAGTAAATTAGATTTTGCATTTATGAAGTTTTTGTAATTGTTGTCGAATGTTATTCATTCATTCATTTCTTTATTTATTTATTGTTACTGGTGATCGAACTCAGGGCCTTGTGCGAGTAAGGCAGGCGGCGATGCCACTGAGCTAAATTTCTGACCCTGTTGAATGCTATTTTAAGAACATGTTTAATCAAATTCATTTAGCTTTAGATTTTAGAGATATGTAAGTACTATTTAGATCTTACTTTTAGCATCTACTAAACTTACAACTTGACTTTTTGTTGTCAAGCCTAAAAAATTTTTTTGTATTTTATTTTGAATAATTGAGGTTTACAATTTATAAAATAAGCACACTATGAAGTAAGCATACTCTTAAGTTTGTTAGACTTGTTTGCTTGCCTTAGGAATATTTGATGTATGATGATATGATGGTAACTGATACTGAAAGGATGGGTTTTTTTTTTTTTTTTTTAAGTATATGTGCTGCTGAAGTGAGCACTGGATGGGGTTTTATAGACTGTTTCCCTTCTTTTTTACTATTTCTTGTACTTTTTTTTTGAGGATGGGTGTCTCACTGTGTTATTTAGGCAGGCTTTGAACTCTTGAGCTAAAGTAGTCCTCCTGCCTCAGCTTTTTGATTAGGTGAGACTATATGTAGGCCCTCAGCACTGTGCCTGGCTCCTCTTTTTTTTTTCAACATTTTAACATTTAATGTAGGGTTGTCTTGAAAATATGGAAAGTTGACCCTTTATATTTTGTGATTCTGTTTTTTGTTTTGTTTTGTTTTTGATACTGGGGATTGAACTCAGGTCTTTGTGCTTGCGAGGCAGGCAGCGGAACCACTGAGCTAAATCCCTGGCCCTGTGATTCTGTATCTACCTGCCACAGATTGAAGATATTTGAAGGAAAAAATTGTATCTGTACTGAATGTGTACAGCTCTTCTCTGGTCATTTTCTAAGCAGTGTGGTACAACAGTGTAGCATCAACTTTGTGTTACTCATTATAAGTAATCTGCAGATGATGGAAGTGAATGGGTGAGGGAGAGGGGAGGGAACAGTGTCCTGCAGGATGTGGGGGCTGGAAGAAACGCTGCATCCTTCTGTTTAAGGAGCTCGAGTGTGTGTGGGTTTTAGCTAGGTCGGCTGTACTGCATTGAAGCATCACCTTCATAATCAAGCCAGACATTGGTATAAGGAGCTCGAGTGTGTGTGGGTTTTACCTAGGTTGGCTGTACTGCATTGAAGCATCACCTTCATAATCAAGCCAGACATTGGTATTTTACAGTACTGTATGTTAGGATCTGAACTCTGGTGATGCTATTCCTAAGTACATTTTGAACCATTCTGTCTGAATTACTTGCCTTCATGATATATTAAATTAGAAACAGATAATGTTCATGCATGTATGTAATACATTGTTATCTAAATCATTTAAAAATGAAACAGGGCCAGGGATGTAGTTCAGCATGAGAGTGTATGTATGCTGAGTGTGTAAAGCGTTGAGTTTGAGCAGTAGTGTGCTGGCCTCAACAAGGAAACGTTTATAAGTTAATGGTTTTTATTTTATTTTATTTTATTTTTTAATTTTTTTTTTTTTTTGTACCGGGGATTGATCTCGGGTCCTTGTGCTTGCAAGGCAGGCCACCGAACCGCTGAGCTAAATCCCCGGCCCAGTTAATAGTTTTAAAATATAGTTACAAGAAAAAAACTCATAGCCTTTTTTGTTTTTGGTAACCAGGGATCAAACGTGGTCCTTATGCTTGTGAGGCAGGCGGCAGAACCACTGCGCTAAATCCCCGGCATTGCATAGCCTTTTTTTGGGGGAGGGCAAATTCTGTGTGACTCAAGCTATATAAGCATTGTTTAGATATTAAATGTACAGTGCAAACAAGGAAAGAAGAAAAAGTCATTGTGATATACAACTTAGAATAAAGGACAATTTCTACAAAAATAAAAAATTTGGCACATATTATACAGGAACCAAAGCACAAACTTGAAATTATAGCTGTGTAGATTACGGGTTAATTGCATCGCTAATGTTTTGAAATGTGCATTTATTATTTAAGGATGTTTTCTGATCCTGTTAGTCAAGGTTCATTACTAAATGGACACAAACTTACTTGATCTTCACACTTCCAACAAATTAGTGTGTGTACGTGGAGTAGTTCTCCAGTTCTCTGAGCTCCCTCTGGTGTCCTCCATGTCAGTTCTGCACTGTCGACCTGTGTGATGCAGACCCTAGATGAAGAGTCAGGCTCAGAAGACTGCAGATGCCATTTTTTTTTTTCTTTTCTTTCTTTTTTTGGTACTGGGGATCGAATTTGGGTCCTTGTGCTTGAGAGGCAGGCAACAGAACCACTGAACTAAATCCCTAGCTGGCCATTTCTTTTTTTTTGAAACAGTCGTTTGTTGATCCTCCTGCCTCAGCTTATCAAAGTCAACCAAAAAAATTATCATCCATTGATGATTCTCAGCTGAAATAGTATTGACAAAAGGCACTTTAAAATTTTTTTTTCTTTTTTTTGAGACAAGGTCTCACTATGTAGTTTCGACTGGGCTTGAACTTACTATATAGCAAGGCTGGCCTTGAACTCCTGGCAGTCCTCCTGCCTCCGCCTCCCAAGTGCTGAAATTACAGGCTTGTGCCACCACACCTGGCTAATTGTTTCTTTTTACATCTATTCCTTGACATTCTACTCTAAATGAGTTTACTTTCTCAGTGGTATAGCTCAGTGGTAGCGTACCTCTGGATTCAGTCCCTAGCATAGAAAGGAAAGAAGGGCAAGGTACTACAACACAAAAAAATTCAGTAAAATAATACACCCTTTAAAAGTTCCTTTGTAATTATTTTGTCTCAAAATACTGAGGTTAAATTCCTCCTTTAAATATAAGTGAATCAACATTGAACTAAATCAGTGGCACCTCAAAATAGTAAGATATAAAAACCAATAGTTATGAGTTTGGGGATACAAGTCAGTGGTGTAATGCTTGCCTGACATGTATGAGGCCTTGAATTGAATCCCTAGGCACAAGAAAGACAGCAACAAAATAGTCTTGTGTTTTTTTGAGGTACTGAGGATTGAATTTGGGTCCTTGTGCTTGTGACATAGGCACTGGAACCACTGTGCTAAATCCCTGGCCCAACAAAATAGTCTTTTATGTACACAGACAATTAAAAATAGGTAGCATGTGCCACTTTGCCCAGTTTTTCCTTTTTTCCTCTCCCTCTACACCCCCACCTTTGTCTCCCGTCTTTCCTTTTTTTCTTCTTTGTTCTTTCCTTCTATTTATTTATTTGGTACTGGAGATCGAACTCAGGACCTTCCACTTGTGAGGCATGTAGTGTGGCACCACTGAGCTAAATCCCCGGCCCTGTTTCTTTTTTATGTGGTGCATATTAATATTACATGATTATGAGTGTTTGGAAGTTGGTATGTGCGTTTGACATATCTTAAATAGTTTCACCCATTACCTCTTCTCCTTTTCCTCTGTCTC